GAATACTGACCAGGCACGCTGAAACCAAATCTTGCTTAGGGCCCCCAAAAGGCTAGGGCCGGCCTTGTATTTGAGTCTCAACAGGTGCTCCCTATTGAATGATGCATGATGCATGAGAGTGACTGGGATAAAGGAATCACCCCCTCAGAGAGAGGCAGCATGTGATCTGATCCCTTCCCATGGAGGGTTACCCAGCATCGCTGCTCTTTGATGTACGTAGCAGACTGGCGGTGTGTCTATTAGTCTGTGGAGCCGTCACACCATGGCCAACATAGCCTAGCCTGCTACAGTGTCAGCCAGAGGGCGAGGAGGAGGTGGAGGTTTTTATGCTTAAACCTCAATCAATATTTCTGTGGACATACACAAGGCCTGGCTTTGGCTGTCCACCCACACCAACCAGGTCTCCGGTCAGCTATAAGCAAGCTGCGGCTGAACACATAAAAAAGCGACATGATATTTGACATCTTAATTGTACAAGAAGCTCACAGACTGAAACCTGAGTAATGCCTCCTTTTTAAGTGGAAGTGAGCAGGCAGCACAGGAGAGTCACCCTTGTCCGTGTCCTTGTTCAACGGGGTAAACGTGGCCATTTCATTCACAAATCCAGTCAAAGGGACACTTTATCTGCTAATCCCCGAGGTTGCCATGACAATGGAGTTTCTCTGACCTCCATGTGTTGTTGTGTTTCCAGGGCAACGTTTGGGAGCAAGTGTTGCGTGTTCCCTTCATCCTGGAGATGATCAGTGCGGTTCCCTTTGTGATCACTGTGAGTCCAATCAAACGCATGCATTATGGAACACTGCTAGTGGAGTTATGCCTAGTGAGCAATTTGTTCTGTGATCGTGTTGTACAGTAGTTGTAACCCCCTACTGGGAATACATTTCACACAACATATAGGATGTTGCATGTCTGTGCTCAATAAGATACTCTAACCTATGTTGCTGCAAAATGCTTTTTCCCCCACTGGCTATTTTTCCCTTCAATCTCTCACTGAACTAACGAAAGATGTGGACATTTGATGAGGCACGATGATGAATAAATGCCGCTAGTACTCACCAAAACACAGACTAAATCTCTTTCTCCTTCAGGTGATTTTGCCGTCTCTCAGAAATCTGTTCATCCCTGTGTTTCTCAACTGCTGGCTGGCCAAACATGCCTTGGAGAACATGATAGTGAGAAAATACATGTTTATTGCTCAGTTTATGTCACCCCATCTCTCCATCTCACAACCGTTCTCTCTCTGCAGGTGTCCCTTTATCTCATCTCTTCCATTGTTTTAGCTTTATCTTAATTATACTTTTCTATGGGTGCCTATCTGTGTTTCTTTCAGATTAAATCTCTGCACCTCGTTCTCTTTATACCACAAGTTTTGACTCCCAATCATTCTTACAGATGTAAGTGCATTCGGAAAGCATTCAGACTCCTTGACTTTTTCCACATTTTGTTATGTTACAGCCGTATTCAAAAATTGATTAAATTGTTTTTTTCCTCATCAATCTACACACAATAACCCATAATGACAAAGCAAAAACAGGTTTCCAGACATTCTAGCAAATGTATTAAAAAAAAACAACTTAAATATCACATTTACATAAGTATTCAGACCCTTTACTCAGTACATTGTTGAAAAACCTTTTGCAGTGATTACAGCCACGAGTCTTCTTGGGTTTGACGTTACCAGCTTGGCACACCTGTATTTGGGGAGTTTCTCTCATTCTTCTCTGCAGATCCGCTCGAGCTTTGTCAGGTTGGATGGGGAGCATCGCTGCACAGCTATTTTCAGGTCTCTCCAGAGATGTTCGATCGGGTTCAAGTCCGGGCTCTGGCTGGGCCACTCAAGGACATTCAGAGACTTGTCCCAAAGCCACTCCTGCGTTGTCTTGGCTGTGTGCTTAGGATCGTTGTCCTGTTGGAAGGTGAACCTTTGCCCCAGTCTGAGGTCCTGAGCGCTCTGGAGCAGGTTTTCATCAAGGATCTCTCTGTACTTTGCTCCGTTCATCTTTCCCTCGACCCTGACTAGTCTCCCAGTCCCTGCTGCTGAAAAACATCCCCACAGCATGAAGCTGCTACCACCATGCTTCACCATAGGGATGGTGCCAGGTTTCCTCCAGACATGATGCTTGGCATTCAGGCCAAAGAGTTTAATCTTGGTTTCATCAGACCAGAGAATCTTGTTTCTCATGGTCTGAGAGTCCTTTAGGTGCCTTTTGGCAAACTCCAAGTGGGTTGTCATGTGCCTTTTACTGAGGAGTGGCTTCCGTCTGGCCACTCTACCATAAAGGCCTGATTGGTGGAGTGCTGCAGAGATGGTGTCCTTCTGGAAGGTTCTCCCATCTCCACAGAGGAACTCTGGAGCTCATTCAGAGCGACCATCGGGTTCTTGGTCACCTCCTTCACCAAGGCCCTTCCCCGCCGATTGCTCAGTTTGGCCGGGCGGCCAGCTCTAGGAAGAGTGTTGGTGGTTCCAAACTTCATCAATTTAAGAATGATGGAGGCCACTGTGTTCTTGGGGACCTTCAATGCTGCAGACATTTTTTGGTACCCTTCTCCAGATCTGTGCCTCGACACAATCCTGTCTCGGAGTTCTAATTCCTTAGATCTCATGGCTTGTTTTTTGCTCTGACATGCACTGTCAACTGTGGGACCTTATATAGACAGGTGTTTGCCTTTCCAAATCATGTCCAATCAATTGTATTTACCACAGGTGGACTCCAATCAAGTTGCAGAAACATCTCAAGGATGATCAATGGAAACAGGATGCACCTGAGCTCAATTTCAAGTCTCACAGCAAAGGGTCTGAATACTTATGTAAATGTGATATTGCAGTTTTTAATTTTTTATACATTTGCAAACATTTCTAAAAACCTGTTTTTCACTTTGTCATTATGAGGTATTGTGCATAGATTGATGACTAAAAATGTGTATTTAATCAATTTTAGAATAAGGCTGTAACGTAACAAAATGTGGAAAAATTCAAGGAGTCTGAATACTTTGCGAATACACTGTATTCTCTATTATTTTATTTTATTATACCCATCATATTCCTTTTGTCCTTGTCCCTCAATTATCTTTGTTTTCTTCTCTGGTTTTTGGGACATTATGCAGATGCAATGGCTTTACATTTATCCTCCTTCTCTCTCACTCTCCGCCCATGATTCTCTCTCTCTCTCTCTCTCGTCTCTTCTCCTCTCTCTCGCGCTGCTCGCTCGCTCTCGCTCTCGCTCGCCGCGCGCGCGCGCGCGCGCGCGCTGCGCTCCATCTCGCCGCCGCGCTCGCTCGCTCCGCGATAGAGAGGAGAGAGAGAGAGAAGAGAGCGCGGGCAGCGAGGGGGGGATCTAGCAGAGGGAGCGGTAGCGAGAGAGCGAGCGAGAGAGAAGCGATCGAGCGAGCGAGCGAGCGATGCAGAGTGAGGAGCGATCAGCGACGTAGTCGACTAGAGCGATACAGCGAGTAATCTATCTATCATCTATATATCTACTATCTATCTATCATCTATATCATCGATCTATCATCTATCTATCTCTCTTGTCTCTCTATCTCTCTCTCTCTCTGTCTACTCTCTTGACTCTCTCTCTCGTCTCTCTCTCTCTCTCTCTCTATCTCTCTATCTATCTCTCTCTCTCTCTCTCTCTCCTCTATCTCCTCTTTCTTCTCTCTCCCTGTGTTAGATTCTCAGGGGCCCATCCCTCCCCTCTATTTCAACAGGTCCTCACCTCATCTGCACCCTTCGCCTCATGTTCAAGGGGGTTCACACATCCTAGCCATCAGGGGGGAAGAGGGGGGACTTACTTAAGCCCAGGGAGGAAGGGGGTTTTCTTTGTGGCGTTGGGTGGGTTTAAAGTATATTGAGTGGTTGGTAGAGGTTAGCTTTGAGTAATAGCCCAGGCTGATATAGAGGAACCTGGAGGTCTGAAAAGCTTCCTGGATGAGACTGGCTGACCTTATCACTACTGACAGCACAATGTTGACTCAACTGGCCCTTCAGCTCTGGGTAAACACACACTAGTCATATACACACAGTGCACATACACTTTGTACACACACCGTCAACAGATTTGCATGCCCGCACACACTACACACACGCACACAAACACACACACGCACACACACACAAAGCACAAGCCTGGCGGCAGCAGGCCAGTCCCCAGGCCTTGCCTCCGGGCTGGAGGGGAGCCCCCGGCACGCACCGGCAAGCAGAAGGGCGGGGCAAGCCGGGCCCGAGGAAGGGGGCACGGGGGGCCGGGGAAAGCAACAGGAAGGCCAGGAGGAACGGGAAAAGGCGGAGGGAGAAGGGCCCCGGCAAAAAGACGGAAGCGGGACCGCGGCCCGCAAAAACCGGGCGGAGGGGGAAAAAGCACTCGAGGGCACGCGGGCCGGCAAAACCCAACCCGGGGGCAGCGCGGCCCCGGAAAAAAAGAGCGGACCGGCGGCCGGAGAAAAAGCAAACGCGCGGAAAGGCCGCGGCAAAAGCAAACCGCGGGCACCGCGGGCCCGGCAACAGCAAACCGCGGAACAGCGCGGCCCGAGGCAACAGCAAACCGGGACGCGGGAACGCGCGGCCGGCAAAAGCAACGCGCGGAACCGAGCGGCCCGGCAACAAGCCAAGCGGGACCCCGGGCCCGGCACAGCAAAAGGCGGAAAGCGAGCCGCGGGAGGCAACAGGGAACCCGGGGGCACGAGCGGGCCCGGCGAACAGCAACCGCGCGGCCACCGCGCGGCCCCGGGGAACAGCAACCGCGCGGCACCGCGCGGCCCCGGCACAGCAATTACCGCGCGGCACCGCGTCGAGGACCCCGGCAGGCGACAGCATTAACCGCGCGGCACTCCGCGCGGCCCCGGCGAGCAGCAAACCGCGCGTGCACGGCGCGGCCCCGGCGAAGCGAACCGCGCGGCACCGGCGCGCGCCCCGGCAACAGCAACCGAAAGCGAGCGCGCGTCCACCTGGGGGGGGCCAAGCAGCACCGTAGCGGCAGGAGCGCGGGCCCGGGCACAAAAGCAAGATGGCGGGGAACAGAGCAAAGACCGCCAGCCGGAGTGGCGGCGCATGCAAAAAAGAGCGAAGGACGATCGGGACACGAGGAGCAGAGACAGCGGAAAGAAGAGAAGGAAAGATAAGAGGAAAAGACCGCAGGAGAAGAAAAAAAAAGAAGAAAAGAAGAGTAGGGAAGAAGACGAAGATAAAGAAGAAGAAAGAAAGAAAAGGACAGAAAAGAAGAAAAAACGACAGGAGAAAGAGAACGACAGAATGAACCAGCGCAGGACGAAGAAGAAAAAGAAAAAAACAGAAGAAATCAAGAAGAAGACGAAAAAGAAAAAGAAGGAAAGAAGAAGAAAAAGAAGCAGAGAAGGAACGACGAAAAAGAAGAAAGGATAGCACGAAGAGGGAAGAAAAACACGCGACAGAGCCGCCGCATCCGCAGCCAAGAGGATACGTCGGCCATATCGACGCTACCTATCCTACACCTCCTCCTCCTCATCCACTTCCTCCTCCTCCTCCTCCTCCACTTCTTCCTCCTCTTCCTCCTCCTCCTCCACCTCCTCCTCCTCTACCACCTCCTTCTCTCCTCAGTATATGTGGGATCCAGCACCTAGAACGAGCAGGAAACAATCTGACTCTGTTTGACTCGCTCTACTTCTGCGTGGTCACCTTCTCTACCGTGGGCTTTGGTGATGTCACGCCCCAGATCTGGCCTTCTCAGCTGCTAGTGGTCATCATGATCTGTGTGGCGCTCATCGTGCTTCCCATACAGGTGAGGGGAGAATCCCAATGTTGTTGTTGTTGTTATTGATGTTGTTGTTGTTGTTTTTTTGTGTTTTTTGAAATAATTTTTTTATGGATAATTTAGCTTGGGCAATTTACCAGTATTTGTCCCTGATGTATTCCCCACACATACGGCTGAGGGGAGAATCCAATTGAACAATAATATTCTACATCAGATATTCCAACTACAGAGAAGGAGTGTCACTGTGTCAGGGGACACTATTACAGTGAATCTGTCATATCCTGCCCATAGTAGTATCACTCTCCTCTCCCCATGTCCCATTACTGTCATTTCAGTTGTGATAATAGGAACCTTTTATGTGTGTGTGTGTGTGTGTGTGTGTGTGTGTGTGTGTGTGTGTGTGTGTGTGTGTGTGGTGTGTGTGTGTGTGTGTGTGTGTGTGTGTTTGTGTTTGTGTGTACGGTCTGAGCCGATGTACTGCTGTGCTCTGGGAGGCATGTTTGAGCAGGACAGGAAATGACACACAGATCCATGTAGCCCTCTCACTCCCTCTCCATGTCTTTCATCCATAAATACCCCCTGACATTTACTGGCTGCCCCACACCTCCTCACCCCCTCTGAGTGTGTGGGTTTCAGCCATGTCTGCTGTCAGGGAGAGGAGAGCCTCCTGTCTGCCTCCCTGCCACCCAGCCTGTCTGATGCACATGGGGATGCCACAGATTACATTAACATGCAGCCAGCCTCCTGGTTCAAATATAACCAACTGTTTATCACTATTATCACTACCTACCTACTGCTGTCTCACTGGTCTCACCTAAACCCTAAACCACCTACTACTGTTTATATCACACCTAACCCACTTCGTCTATCACTACCTCAACCCACCTACTGTCTGTCTATCACTACCTCAACCCACCTACTGTCTGTCTATCACTACCTCAACCCACCTACTGTCTGTCTATCACTACCTCAACCCACCTACTGTCTGTCTATCACTACCTCAACCCACCTACTGTCTGTCTATCACTACCTCAACCCACCTACTGTCTGTCTATACCCCACAGCTATATCTGTCTATCAACACCTAACCAACCTATTATCTGTCTATCAATCAACCTCAACCCACCTACTGTTTCTATCACTACCTCAACCCACCTAATGTCTGTCTATCACTACCTCAACCCAACTACGTCGTCTATTCCACGACCTCAACCAACCTACGGTCTGTCTATCACTACCTCAACCCCACTACTGTCTGTCTATTCAAGACCTCAAAACCCAGCTATTATCGTCATCACCACCCACCAACCTACTATATGTCGATCAATACATCACCCACCCCCCCCCTACGTCTGTCTATCACTACCTCAACCCATCATAATGTCTGGTCTATCACCTTACCTAACCCACTACTGTCTGTCTATCACAACCTCACCCACCCACCTACTGTTATTGTCTATACAACTACCTCAACCCACCTACTGTGTCTATCACTACCTCAACCTACCTACTGTCTGTCTATCACTACCTCAACCTACCTACTGTCTGTCTATCACTACCTCAACCCACCTACTGTCTATCACTACCTCAACCCAGCTATTATCTGTCTATCACCACCTCAACCAACCTACTATCTGTCTATCACTACCTCAACCCACCTACTGTCTATCACTACCTCAACCCAGCTATTGTCTGTCTATCACTACCTCCACCCACCTACTGTCTGTCTATCACTACCTCAACCCACCTACTGTCTATCACTACCTCAACCCACCTACTGTCTGTCTATCACTACCTCCACCCACCTACTGTCTATCACTACCTCAAACCATCTACTGTCTGTCCATCACTAATTACACTAATATAATTCTTCCCATCTGTAGTTTGAGCAGCTGGCCTTCCTGTGGATGGAGCGCCAGAAGTCTGGGGGGAACTACAGCCGCTACCGGGCCCAGACGGAGAAACATGTGGTGCTGTGTGTCAGCTGCCTCAAGATAGACCTCCTCATGGACTTCCTCAACGAGTTCTTTGCTCACCCCAGACTGCAGGTCTCTCCAAAAACCATTATCTAGGGCAGGCATGGGCAACTTTGATGGGGATGGGGGCCACAAAAAATCTGAACTCATCATGAGGGGCCGCAGCGGCTCGCTGGTCTGTATACCCACATCCATATCCACACACGCAGACATGCAGTCAGAGCCGGCCCCACCCACCTTGGGAGAACAAACATTTTAGCGGCCCCCCTCTTGACACTGGAGAGAAAAAAAACTATGTTTTAGAGTTAATTTCCTGCAATTCTGCAAATTTTTCTACAGGGAAGATGAGATACGGTGTGACTAATGTGTGTGTGCGTATGCACGCATGCGTGTATTCATGTGTGTGTGCGTGTGTGTACATCTCTGTAATCCTCACCAGGAGCTGAAGCAGCTGAGGTAAAATAGGGGATTCAATCAGCATTAGCATAGTTCAAACCACATTTTTTATTTTCATGAGCAGCTGGGTGAGGGTGTGTATGTGTCTTCATAATTGACTGAGTGTGTGAGAGAATATTTGTGTGAGACCCTCCCTACCCTCCCATTAACTCCAGTGTGTGTGTGTGTGTGTGTGTGTGTGTGTGTGTGTGTGTGGTGTGTGTGTGTGTGTGTGTGTGTGTGTGTGTGTGTGTGTGTGTGTGTGTGTGTGCGTGCGTGCGTGCGTGCATGCATGCATCTATAGGACTACTACGTGGTGATCCTGTGCCCGGCAGAGATGGATGTCCAGGTGCGGAGGGTCCTCCACGTGCCCCTGTGGGCACAGAGGGTCATCTACCTGCAGGGCTCCGCCCTCAAGGACCAAGACCTCATGAGGGCCAAGTGAGTCCCCTGCATCGGGCCCCCATCCATGGGCCCCAAATCACAGCCATGCTACAGGGGCCCCAAACCAAGACATGCTACATATCTCATAGGCTATGTTTGACAGTTATCAGTGCCGATAGCAGTTACAGTACACTGGCTCTGTTAAATAAAGACAGCCCAATAAAATGATTGGGTTTTGTCCTCCTTGTCTCTTCTGCTCCCCTGATAGTAACTCCCAGTGAAGTAGTAAGTGTAGCAGTAGTAAATAGTGTGGTTTGTGGAAGGACAAATGATGGGGGGCTAGGTCGGGGCCGCAGGGGGCTTAGTCAAAACTAGGGGACAAAAAAGAAAGCGATGAGAAAAAAACTGAAAAAAAAAAAACGAAAAAAGAAAAAAACAACAAAAAAAAAAAAAAAAAAAAGAAGCAAGACACAAATACAAAAAAGAAAAAAAAAAAAAAACCCAAACAAGAAAAAAAAAAAAAAACAAAACAAAAAATAAACAAAAAGAACCCCACCCCCGAAGAAGCCGAAACCCCCAAAAAGAACCTCAAACGAAGAGAAGAAGAACCAGGATTCAGGGAAGGCACAGCAGAGAAAAATGGCGGGAACCGTAGACGACAGCGATGAGCCATAAAGTAGGTGTGGTCTAGTTGAACGAGGGTCGGACGACACGAAACGGGCACAGTGAGAGGCCGGGGCTATCGGCCGGAAGACGGCCGCGACCCCCCCCCCCCCCACTCTCCTCTATCTCATCTCTTTCATCCTTCATCCCCTGTTCCTCTCTCCTCCTCCTGCCTCTATCTAACCTGTGTCCTGTCTTGGCCTGACCCCTCCTGCTGCTCTACTAACTGGCTGTAGGATGGACGATGCTGAGGCCTGTTTTATCCTCAGTAACCGATTCGAGGTGGACCGCTTCGCTGCTGTACGTTCCTCATTCTCCTTTTAATACTTTTAATCTCCACAACGCCACCCTCCTTCTTTTCCTGTCCTCCACTCTTCTTTCCCTCCTTTACAGCGTTCTCTCTCTACCTCTACTTTATTTTTATAAAAATGTCAATGATCATCCTGGGGCTCCCGAGTGGCGCAGCGGTCTAAGGCACTGCATCTCAGTGCTTGAGGCGTCACTACAGACCCCCGGGTTTGATTCCAGGCTGTATCACAACCAGCCGTGATTGGGAGTCCCTTAGGGCGGCGCACAATTGGCCCAGCGTCGTCCGGTTTGAGCCGGTGTAGGCGTATTGTAATAAGAAGTTGTCTTAACTGACTCTTGCTAGTAAATAAAGGTAAAATAAAATCCTAAGAACTATTTCACAGCAATTATTTCCTTCTGCTTTGCTGCTTTTCTTACCACACTATTTCACACCTGTGACATAATTACTGGCATTTGAGGGAATTTTCCTTTCTGGTGGGGCTATAGGCGGTTAATTCTGTTGAAAGCTCTGTGTGCCCTAGTTGAAGAGGCTTATCAGGGGGATTTCTACCCCCAGAGAGGAGAGATAATCTGAGGACTGTGGGGAGCTGCTAGCTGCTGTTGCTGCTAATGATTTGAGTCTGCTTTTTGTACCGCCATAGCGCTTCTTGAAACTCGCGAAAAAGGAATGAAAGGAAGAAAGAGAGAGTGAGAGAGTAGGAGAAAGAGAGAGGGAGAGTAGCGGAAAACGTATATATAGCTCCCCCCCCTCTCTCTCTCCTCTCTCTCTCTCTCTCTCTCTCGTCTCTCTCTCTCTCTCTCTCTCTCTCTCGTCTCTCTCTCTCTCTCTCTCTCTCTCTCTCTCTCTCTCTCTCTACTCTCTCTCTCATCTCTCCTCTCTCTCTCTCTCTCTCTCTCTATTTATATATATATATCTCCTCTCTCTCTCTCTCTCTCTTTTCCACCACCAGGATCACCAGACCATTCTAAGAGCCTGGGCGGTGAAAGACTTTGCCCCAAACTGCCCCCTGTATGTCCAGATCCTCAAACCTGAGAACAAGTTCCACGTCAAGTTTGCAGGTCAGATTCAGAGCATTGAGTGTGGGATTCGTTGGGATGGCTGAGCGTGTGTGCATGTGTGTGCGTCCGTACGCATATGTGTGTGCAGTTGTGTGCATATGGGTATTTTATAAATAATGGGGCCAATGTGTGACATTGGGATAAATATTTTCAAATGGTTTAAAAATAATAATAATGCAGTACCACATTTGTACTTAGAGGAATAAAAGTGAATATATGCAACTTGGCCCATAACTCCACCTATACAGCAACATAGACCTAGGACTATACATCCTTTAAGCAGGGTTCATACAGACATTGGCAAGTCAAATTCAAGGACTTTCAGGGACTTTTTCAAGTACTTAATTATAATTTTCAAGGACCTCAATGTTATACAATTGTATAATTTATATAATTGTACATACAGTGGGGAGAACAAGTATTTGATACACTGCCGATTTTACAGGTTTTCCTACTTACAAAGCATGTAGAGGTCTGTAATATTTATCATAGGTACACTTCAACTGTGAGAGACGGAATTTAAAAACAAAAATCCAGAAAATCACATTGTATGATTTTTAAGTAATTAATTTGCATTTTATTGCATGACATAAGTATTTGATCACCTACCAACCAGTAAGAATTCCGGCTCTCACAGACCTGTTAGTTTTTCTTTAAGAAGCCCTCCTGTTCTCCACTCATTACCTGTATTAACTGCACCTGTTTGAACTCGTTACCTGTATAAAAGACACCTGTCCAAACACTCAATCAAACAGACTCCAACCTCTCCACAATGGCCAAGACCAGAGAGCTGTGTAAGGACATCAGGGATACAATTGTAGACCTGCACAAGGCTGGGATGGGCTACAGGACAATAGGCAAGCAGCTTGGTGATATTATTATTATTATTATTTATTATTATTACAACATCTGTTGGCCCAATTATTAGAAAATAGAAGAAGTTCAAGATGATGGTCAATCAACCTCGGTCTGGGGCTCCATGCAAGATCTCACCTCGTGGGGCATCAATGATCATGAGGAAGGTGAAGGATCAGCCCAGAACTACATGGCAGGACCTGGTCAATGACCTGAAGAGAGCTGGGACCACAGTCTCAAAGAAAACCATTAGTAACACACTACGCCGTCATGGATTAAAATCCTGCAGCGCACGCAAGGTCCCCCTGCTCAAGCCAGCGCATGTCCAGGCCCTAGTCTGAAGTTTGCCAATGACCATCTGGATGATCCAGAGGAGAAATGGGAGAAGGTCATGTGGTCTGATGAGACAAAAATAGAGCTTTTTGGTCTAAACTCCACTCGCCGTGTTTGGAGGAAGAAGAAGGATGAGTACAACCCCAAGAACACCATCCCAACCGTGAAGCATGGAGGTGGAAACATCATTCTTTGGGGATGCTTTTCTGCAAAGGGGACAGGACGACTGCACCGTATTGAGGGGAGGATGGATGGGGCCATGTATCGCGAGATCTTGGCCAACAACCTCCTTCCCTCAGTAAGAGCATTGAAGATTGGTCGTGGCTGGGTCTTCCAGCATGACAACGACCTGAAACACACAGCCAGGGCAACTAAGGAGTGGCTCCGTAGGAAGCATCTCAAGGTCCTGGAGTGGCCTAGCCAGTCTCCAGACCTGAACCCAATAGAAAATCTTTGGAGGGAGCTGATAGTCCGTATTGCCCAGCGACAGCCCCGAAACCTGAAGGATCTGGAGAAGGTCTGAATGGAGGAGTGGGCCAAAATCCCTGCTGCAGTGTTTGCAAACCTGGTCAAGACCTACAGGAAACGTATGATCTCTATAATTGCAAACAAAGGTTTCTGTACCAAATATTAAGTTCTGTTTTTCTGACGTATCAAATACTTATGTCATGCAATAAAATGCAAATGAATTACTTAAAAATCATACAATGTGATTTTCTGGATTTTTGTTTTAGATTCCGTCTCTCACAGTTGAAGTGTACCTATGATAAAATTACAGACCTCTACATGCTTTGTAAGTAGGAAAACCTGCAAAATCGGCAGTGTATCAAATACTTGTTCTCCCCACTGTATACCCCCCCCCCCCCCCCCTTGCCAATGCATTGATATTGAAATTATTATTATTATTGTAAAATATGTGGGAATAATGTGGAAATTGCCTAACAAAATATATTGGATGCATGCATGCCGTTTTTTCTTTAGCCTATGTGGCCAACGCATGCACACATAATAAAGCCATGAATAGCGGTAGCATTAAAATCTCACCATCGCTTTTTTTATAATGACAAAGTGACCAATAACTAGGTTCCTTTTTTAATGGAAGGATTTGTATGTAAAGTCAAGTTGAAGCCAACATTAGATGTTGTCGTCCTCATAATAACCGTACGTGGTTTTACCGCAACAGAGTAGTGCAACACCAACAGAGTAGTGCAACACCCTTCCATTGAAGTGGCGGGAAACAAACGAAAGTGAACACATCTCTCACAAAAATGGATCAAATATGAAATCACAGATAATTAATTATAAGGAAGCAGGAGAACTTATAAATTCTCTACAATAATTACGAGGACTTTTCAAGCACCAAATTGAAGAAATGTCAGATTTTCAAGGTAGGCCTATTACATCAAGCCCCTTGTATTGTGTAAAATTGCAGGTCTAACATGGAAACCAATATGTATTTGTCATGTTATTTCATTACCAGATCATATGGTAAATAAGCCCACTAGGCTTTGTAATTTGTTGTCATTATATACAGAATAATTAATAGGAAGAGCGTTGGGTGTTGCGCAACAGTCTATCCTACACAATTGCGGACAATAGGCTGAGTGTCCAATCCGAGGCACAAAAAACATCTGAAAACATTAACTCATTACCTTGATGCTTTCTCTGTTAAATCTAATGAGACCCTGCTGTAAATCAAGCGGACAACAACAGATGATGAACATCAATTCGCTAGGGATATTAGATCCAACATGATCCAACAGGGGCGGCAGGTAGCTTAGTGGGTAAGAGCGTTGTGCCAGTAACCGAAAGGTCGCTGGTTCTAATCCCCGAGCCGACTAGGTGAAAAATCTGTCGATGTGCCCTTGAGCAAGGCACTTAACCATAATTGCTCCTGTAAGTCGCTCTGCATAAGAGCGTCTGCTAAATGACTAAAAATGTAAATGAAGCCAGGCACAACTGTCTTGAATGAGACACCAAAATATTATTGACATTTCTCGCAAACAATTTTTTTTCCAGCACTTGGGCTGTTGTTGCATTGCATGCACTATCACAACAGCTGTTCATCACTTGACTGTCATTCAGAACATTCCTTCCTGGATCAGATGATGATGTGTGAAAATATCGCAGCGTAACTAATCAGCTGGACACTAAATGTGCATCCAACAAGTGTTATGCATAATTATTGAAGAACCACATTAATGACAGTATCGATTTAGGTTTTAAGTATCAAGGTAATATGAGTTTCGGTTAGCAATAGCATACATCATTTTGGATTTGTGTGCCCATGAAAACTGTTTCCACCCCCTGACATAAGGAGACACAAAATGTTACATAGTTACACTGCATTTCTGAGATCTCTATAAAAAAACTGTCCGACAGCTAGATCCAGGATTCTTACAGGGTTCAAGTTCAATGTTTAACTGATTAATGCTTAATATATAATATAATGACAATTTACACTGCCATAAATGCAAGGACATAAAAGTAATGTTTTATGTCACATGATTTCGGACAAAAAAAAGACACCAACCATGATAAAGGTTTAAACAAGTTTTAAATCAACTGGTGAATTTGATTGAATATAGCTATGATCCCCCTTATATCTTAATGTAATGACTTGAAAAAAATTGGCAGATTATTATCAATGACTTATCAACAGCTGTAACAAGTTGTCCAGAGTAGGAAATCCTCACTGGTATCCTAGCTTAGAGAAAGACCCATATGTGTCTTTCTCTGTTCCAGCATACTATGAACTGACAGCCATTTCCCCAGAGTTTCTGATCTGCTTGATTAAAGTCCTGTCTCATTTTCAACCTGAGCACCTCCTGTGATTTATGAGACTCTTTGCAGGTGTATTCAATGCATTTCCTATCAGACGAGATAGTATAAAGCTGTATACCCCATTCCATTCTCTCCGGCTCTCCCGTGATAGACAGATTGTGTTGGCAGCGTGTCTGGGAGGAGTAATTTTATTAGCATGGACACTTTGCCTCCTGGGAAACAAAGCCTTCTCCTGTTCAGCAGACCCTCATAAAGCACCAATCAAGCAGCACTTGTTAGGAATAGGAGGAGAGAGAATGATGAGCAGGCAGAGACTTGACTTTTCTCCTTCTGTGTCTCTCTCAATTCAATTCAAAGTGGCTTTACTGCTCTTAAACACTAGTAAAACTAAATGCATGCTCTTCAACCGAACGCTGCTTGCACCCGCCCACCCGACTAGAATCACTACTCTCGACGGGTCTGACCTAGAGTATGTGGACAACTACAAATATCTAGGTGTCTGGTTAGACTGTAAACTCTCCTTCCAGACTCACATTAAGAATCTCCAATCCAAAGTTAACTCTAGAATCGGTTTCCTATTTCGCAACAAAGCCTCCTTCACTCATGCTGCCAAACATGCCCTCATAAAACTGACTATCCTACCGATCCTTGACTTCGGCGATGTCATTTACAAAATAGCCTCCAACACTACTCAGCAAATTGGATATAGTCTATCACAGTGCCATCCGTTTTGTCTCCAAAGCCCCATATAATACCCACCACTGTGACCAGTACGCTCTTGTTGGCTGGTCCTCACTACATATTCGTCGCCAAACCCACTGGCTCCAGGCCATCTATAAATCACTGCTAGGCAAATCCCCACCTTATCTTAGCTCATTGGTCACCATAGCAACACCCACCCGTAGTCTGCGTTCCAGCAGGTATATCTCACTGGTCATCCCCAAAGCCAACACCTCCTTTGGCCGCAATTCCTTCCAGTTCTCTGCTGCCAATGACTGGAACAAATTGCAAAAATCTCTGAAGCTGG